CGAAGGCCGCGACGGGGCCTCCTCCTCCTCCCTCTCCCTCCACCTCCGCCTCCTCCTCCTCCTCCTCCTCCTCACCACGGAGGCGGACCTGGAGGGATCCCGACCTAGCTCTCGCGAGAAGTTACTCCCAACTTAACGCGAGATTACGCAAGCCCGGGAGTCGGGAGTTGGAAGGAAAGCGTAGTAGCCCCAGCCACCCAAACTGCGTATCAACTTCCCTCTGCCTCAGCGAATCCACCCCGATCACGTGACAAGGGAGCCCCGGAGCACTGTGGGAGGTACTATGAGAAGGACTAGGCAAGCCGAAGGGATTGATGGGAAACTCCCTGCACATTCATCTGTGCCTTGAGCCGGCTTCCTAGACGCTGGTTTGAGCCAGTGTCTCCTTCGTGAAAAGCGTCGAATCCATTGAGCAGAATCTGATACATCTGTGTTACATTCTACTTCACGTTCCTGTAATGACATGCTGACAGGATCCCTCAATCCCTCCACAATGTCAAGTAATCTCCCAATTACAAAAACAAAAAAGAAAACATGTATTTGGCAGGCACTTCCATATCTCCGTTCTTTATTAAAGAGAGAGCTCTGTTCCTAGACAAAGAGTCCAAAGGAAAAAAAAAAAAAGCTCTGAGCTCCTCAAAAGCTGGCAAAGATAAAAATTTAAGCACAAATTCTGGCATCATATCTCAAATATTTGTTGAAGCTTTTTCCACAGCAAATTAAGGTAAGAATGATTCTTACTGTTTATAATTTATAGATGAAACAGACTTGGAATAGGGATAAGAGAATTAACATTTATAAACTACTTAGTATGTGTAAGGTCCTATGTTAGGTGATATTTAATTTTAAATGTTTTAGTTTTATTTACATTTTATTTAATTAGCAAGGTGATCCTAGAAGGCAGATACAATGTACCTCTTGTTACTGATGAGAAGCTAAAGAATGTAGGCTAGAAAATGACCATGACGCCTGGCGCGGTGGCTCACGCCTGTAATACCAGCACTTTGGGAGGGCGAGGCGGGTGGATCACGAGGTCAGAAGTTAGAGACCAGTCTGGCCAACATAGTGAAACCCCGTGTCTACTAAAAATACAAAAATTAGTCGGGTGTGGTGGCGGGCACCTGTAATCCCAGCTACTCCGGGGACTGAGGCAAGAGAATCGCGTGAACCCGGGAGGCGGAGGTTGCCATGATGGAGACCGCCATTGCGCTACAGCCGGGGGGTGGTCAGTGCCAGACTCCGTCTCAAAAAAAGAAAAAGAAAAAGAAAAAAAAGGACCATGACTTGTAATTAAACTCAAGGCACTTTCCTATGTGAAATCAGATGTCCAACAACAAAAATATGCAAGTAAACCTACGATGAATTAGAATATGGAAAGGTTGCTTTTACAGTTTCATCAAAATATATGGTTATTACCTATTATATTTGTCTGAATGACAGGCAAAGATCAATGGTTTTGAAAAAAGATTCATTGGCCACATCAAAGACGTTTCTTCCACACATTATCTTTTTCGTTCTCTTCTCTTTTTTATTTTTTTGAGACGGAGTCTCGCTCTGTCCCCCTGGCTGGAGTGCGGTGGCGAGATCTCGGCTCACTGCAAGCTCCGCCTCCCGGGATCACGCCATTCTCCTGCCTCAGCCTCCTCAGTAGCTGGGAGTACAGGCGCCGGCCACCGCCCCCAGGCTATTTTTTTTTTTTGTATTTTTAGTAGAGACGGGGTTTAACCGTGTTAGCCAGGGTGGTCTCGATCTCCTGACCTTGTGATCCGCCCGCCTAGGCCTCCCAAAGTGCTGGGGTTACAGGCGTGAGCCACCGCGCCCGGACACGTTCTCTTCTCTTTATGATACATATGCCAAGCCTAGAGAACTGTTAACAACCAATACTTGTTTCAGTAATTTCAACTGGACAGTGATAGGTGATTTTACATGTACATATTTGTTTTCCACACTACTGTGTGTATACACACACACAATACATATATAAATATATACACATATATGCATACATATTATATATATACATATATGTACATATATATATTTTTGAGATGGAGTCTCGCTGTGTCGCAGAGGCTGGAGTGCAATGGCGCAGTCTCGGCTCACTGCAACCTCCGGCTCCCGGGTTTAAGGGATTCTCCTGCCTTAGCCTCCCCAGTAGCTGGGATTACAGGCACCCGCCATCATGCCTGGCTAATTTTTTTTTTTTTTTTTTTTTTTTTTTTGTATTTTTGTAGAGACAGGGTTTCACCATGTTGGCCAGGCTGGGTTTGAACTCCTGACCCCAGAAGATCCTCCCGCCTCGGCCTCCAAAGTGTTGGGATTACAGGCGTGAGCCACCACGCCAGGCCATATTTTTCTATTCTACTGGATATATTTACATTTCACTAGACAGGAGAATGTTTATTTCTGATAATCTGAGATTTTTCAAAGGTGTCCTGACCACCATATTTATTTTTATTTTATTTTTGAGACGGGGTCTGGCTCCCTCACCCAGGCTGAACTGCAGCCGTGCGATCTCGGCTTATTGCAACCTCCGCCTCCCAGTTTCAAGGGATTCTCCTGCCTCAGACTCTGGAGTAGCTGGGATTACAGGCCAGCGCCACCATGCCCAGCTAACTTTTGTATTTTTAGTGAAGGGTTTTCATCAGGTTAGCCAGGCTTGCCTCGAACTCCTGACGTCAAGTGATCTGCCAGCCTCGGCCTCCCAAAGTGCTCCCAAAGTGTTGGGATTACAGGCGTGAGCCTCAGCGCCCAGCCATGACCACCATATTTAAAATTACAATCCCATCCCCCTTCTCTGATACTCCCTATTCCTGATTTTTCTCCAAATTCCTTCTCAAACTTTCACAGACATGGATTTTACTTACTTGTTTACTATTCGTCTCCCTTCACTACAATGTTTCACAAGAGCAGGAATTTTTGTCTGTATACCTAACTTATACTGCATTGTAAGGACTCAGAAGTATTTGCTAGATGAATGATTAATGAATAGCCAGGAGAAACTGTATCCTTTAAATTGTATCCTTTAAAATTCGAAGATGAAGACAAAACACATAGTCCATTCCCACCTCCAGTTTATTATTTCTTATGTAAACATGTAAGATAGTTACATCCCAGGAAAAAGGGCAAGTGTTTTCTCTTACAACAAAGTAACGACTACCTTTTTAAGATCTTTTATACGTAAATGGAGTAAATAAAGAGGTTGAACTCAAACACTTTGCATTTTTCTGTCATATCAGAAACACAAACTGTGAATATGTTAAATGAATAAATTCTATACTTTGTCATACCTTCACTTTAAAAAAAGATTCCATTTTCCTGAAAATTTTTAAACATATCATGCAAACAGACACTCTCCTAGGAATGTTTGGAGATCATTCTGTGCTACTGAACAGGAATAAATAATATAAATAATAACCATCACTTTCACAAAACCCCCCCGGCCAGCAAAAATCTCAAAGTGCTCACAAAAAATTTTACAACAATCTACAAGGCACACATAAAACTTAAACATAGTTTCAACCAATTTTTTGTTTTCAAATATCCAAGATAGTAGATACTAATTCCTAAAAAATCAGATTACTATTCTTTTACCCTCTCCTCCCATCTCCATCCTTCCCCCTTCCCCCCATGCCATTTTATCATAGGAAGCAAAAATAAGAAAAGTATTTCAATCACTAGTAAACTATTTCTGAAAAGAAAATATTTTCACACCAACAAATGGCCAGTGTTAGGTCAAATGGAAGCAATGAGCTATGAATGAAAAGTAAGCAATGAGCCATCATCCTTTCCAGTGGAAAGAGATCCACTATTTAGAAAAATTATGTCTCCAATGGAGTACTTAAGTAACAAAGTTCATAAAGACACAAAACCGTCCTCTCTTGCTTTCCCCTCTTCTGTTCTGAGGGAGAATTAAATATAAAATCATGGAATTTTAGACCTGGAAATGATCTTTCAAATGATGAAGATCAAAGTAATTTTACATATATAGTTAAAAAGTTCAAGGAGAAGTTCAGCACAATGTCACTAACTACTAACGTTGGGTTATGAAGTCGGTTTTCTCGTCAAATGAGACCTGCATTCTTAAAAGTCTCTAGGAAAGTTAAAATTCCGTGGAGAATGTCTTTCCCACAAAAGTATCAAAAGAAGGTTAACACTTACAACAACGAACATGTGATTCATCACACAATTTTTATAAATGGTACAAAGTATATTACATTTTAAAATATAGAAGGGCTTCAATAGAAATTAAATACAGTAGAAATTCTACATAAAGCTAAGTTAACTAGAGGAGGACTAGAACAGCTTGAAAGTAAGATGCATCTAGTCAGGCTTCTTTACCAAAAGCAGTTCTTGTGTTTTGAAGAATATTATTTGCCCTGCAGTATATTTTAATCTTTGTTAAAATAATTTTTTAAAGTTTCTTATGATATGTAGATGGGGATATTAGAGAACTATGGCTTGGAACACCATATCAAATATGACTGTCACTAAAATAATCATACAGTCATGGTTTTCCTTTTGGCGTAATTTTGGAAATATAAAACTCTAGGGATGGTTAAGATTCTTATCAACCCGGGGCCGGGCGCGGTGGCTCAAGCCTGTAATCCCAGCACTTTGGGAGGCCGAGACGGGCGGATCACGAGGTCAGGAGATCAAGACCATCCTGGCTAACCCGGCGAAACCCCGTCTCTACTAAAAAATACAAAAAGTAGCCGGGCGAGGTGGCGGGCGCCTGTAGTCCCAGCTACTCGGGAGGCTGAGGCAGGAGAATGGCGTGAACCCGGGAGGCGGAGCTTGCAGTGAGCTGAGATCCGGCCACTGCACTCCAGCCTGGGCGACATAGCGAGACTCCATCTCAAAAAAAAAAAAAAAAAAAAAAAAAGATTCTTATCAACCCATAGTGAATGGAAATTCCATTAATGTAAATTTAAAAATACAACACTAAAGCTACCCCTTTTTAAATTGCTCATCGAATAACAGCTACAATATATATTGCCAATTCAAAACTTAAAATGATATGGATGAACCTCAAAGTCATTATGCTGGGTGAAAAAGCATGTCAAGAAGGAACATACCGTTAAGAATCTGTTTATATGACAGTCCAGAAAAGGCAAAATAATAGTGACGGAGAACTGTTGCCAGGATTAGAGCTAGAAGAGCTGACTACAAAAGGACAGCATGAGAGAGCTGTTGAGTGAAGGAACTGTTCTGTACCGATTGCTGTAGTGGTGCACAAATCTTTGTGTTAAAATTCGCAGAACTATAAACCAGGAAGAAATTTCAGTTTTACTTCATGTTAAATAAAAAATAAAATAGAGAAGAAGTTTTAAAACAGTAGAACAGATATCTTTGGTAAAGGTAGAATTTCTCATTTTTCACAGCTTCATGCCAATGGTATAATTTTACTGGCCACAAAATTATTGATCCAATTGTATTAAATAAAATCAAGAAACTTGGGCCCAATTAACCATTTCTTAAATATGTATACTAACAAGGCCTGGAAATAAAAGTATTTTAAGGAATATTAACCCTTTATAAAAAATAATCTCCTATTCCCAAGTGAATGTGAATTGTTACTTTATACATTTTAAAATGAAAAGTATCTTGGTGTTTAGTTTGGAATCCAAGAACAGCTGGTAAAAAGTTAAAAAAAAAATTTCTTAGTGCCATCTGTTCTAAAGTGACTAGAAACACATAATAGTGTTTTTACCTTTATTTTCTCTGTTATCCTAATTCATTAGTTTTTATATGATTGGATTTTATACTTAAGTCAGTTACTTAGAGACTCCAAATCAGAATCTGCAAATACTGCTGGATCCTTTGTCACTAGAATCAAGAATGTGTAAGAAAGGAACTCTATTTCTCTAGGGATACTACTGAGACTTATATGTAATGTATGAGATGAGACAGAATCCCATCAGCTTTACTGTGCCTCCCATAACTTTGGAACTGTTAGAAGTTCAGAAAGAATGATTATGTGTAAGCCAACCAAATATAAGAAACAAAGATTAGGGGGGATGAAATATTACAAATGCTGCATCTCTATAGAAAGACTTGCCTAATAGAATAATACAAACTTTATATAACAAGTCTGTGATTATAATTATAGTAGACTTTGCCTTTTGAGATCAGGCCTAGATAGTTTTTCACCACTGCTTCTGCCATGGACGGAGGTTAAGTGCTTTTTGAGAGCAGACTTGTGCTTAAAATCCATATCACAACAGTGGCATTTGTATGGCCGATCCCCACTGTGTATGTTCAAGTGGTCCTGAAGTGTGCTTTTAGCAGTAAATGTCTTCAAGCACACAGAACACTGAAAGGGCCGTATGCCCATGTGTCCTCGAATGTGTCGGTTGAGATTTTTCTTCTGTGTAAATGTTTTCCCGCACTGTAAGCATAAGAATAGTTTATGCATTTTAAGGTGGCGCAGATAGTTTTCAACATGAAGAAAGCCTCGAGGACACCTGGGGCACTGGTGCCTCAGTGAATAACCTTCCTCCAGATTCTGAATCTCACTCACTGTACCATAACTTCCTTCAGTATTCTCACAAAATAAGCCCTGACCTTGATTCCCAGGAACTTCAGCCACTCTGCTCTCAACTGTAGAATTGATCAATGAATGCTGTGTTTCAGAGAAATACATGCTTGCTTTTGAAGAGGTACAAGGCTGTGAAAACTGCCCATTTTCAACACCAGCTGTACTGATGGATTCTACGTGAAGGATACAAATTTCATTGTCTTTAAAATCTATGTCTACCGCAGACAGCTCTGGTGACTTCATTTCCTTTCTCTCTGATGTCAGACTCTCTACTGTAGACTGCAAAGCATTGCTTTCCTCTTCTTTAACATGGAAATCTATGTTCACAGGACTATCTTCTGAAATTTCAATTATCTCACAGTCTTTATCAGAATTTTCATCTTCATTCTTAACATCAGGATCAGAAGACTGACACAGGTCAGTGTGTTGGTTGTTGTTTTTCATAGAAAGATCAATTTCCAGATATTTTGACAAAGCTTCTGTGCACTTTTCCACAATGTGAACCATTTGAAGGTAACTGGCAGCAGTCAAGTATTTCAAAAGCTCTTTCCTTTTAACTTCAAGTGCTCCAGTATAGCAAGAGAGTAACAATTTTCTGCCAACTTCTGCACTCTGCAAGATGGTGATTCTGACATGTTTTGACTGTGTGAGTAAAAACTGATCTCTCATAAAAGTGGAGCAAGCAGCCAAAATCACCTTGTGCCCCTGGAACTCAGTGTCATTAATGTAAATTGATACATCACAAAATAAATTCTGCTGTCTCAAAAGATTCATTTTCTGCAAGACCACATCTCCTTGCTGTTCAAACTGGAAATGCAGAACATCAGACTCAGCAGCCATGATCACAATCTAAGCAAAATAAAACACAAACATTGATGTAATAAAGATAGGGAATGCTTTCTCATGCTGTAATAGTGAAAACAAACAAAAAACCCCAAACCTGAATTAGGAAAAAGAAGACTCAAAGTCTAATGTAGATGCTATGAACCCTTATGCCACCATCTGAAAACTGAGAACTTTATAATGCACTTCTCTATGATCTCATAGCACATTTTTCATAACTTTGTTACAACATTTATTACACTGAATTGTAGTGAACAGTTTCTAGCTTGTTTCTTTTGCTAAATGTTGTTTGCGTTGTGGTCAAGAACAATCTGTCAATTTTCAGTATCCAATAATGAGCATGACCACCACAAAGTTGATTTAACATAATATCCCCAATTACAAACCTTAACGTAATCTCTAAACTTCCTACTCCCCACCACTACAACAGGTCTCCCTTTCGGTTCACCTGAACAACTGCAATATCTTCCAACAGGTCTCCTTTATATGCCAGATTACCCTCCTGAGTGCCACCAGGATTAACATCCCTTAAGGTTTTTGTTTGGTTGGTTGGTTGTTTTTTAATTTCCCTTTTAAATCTTCCATCGCTCTCCTCTACCTCCGGGACAGACCAAATTTCTTAGGGAAGAATACGAGACCCATCACGATTTGGCCATAACCCATCTTTATGGCTTTATCACCTTCTATTCTCTTTTTCATACTCGAACCTCCTTCATACTAAATTTTTCCATCATTGCCCAAACAAAAAGACAGGAATACACATTTCTTAAATTCGCGTTTCCAGTTCCTTTTTCCAGCTAGTGATTGGGCTCCTTTAAGCCCAAATCAAGTAAAACTAATATGACTCCACCTCCCGTTTCCACCAGAGAGTCAGTCGCTCTCTGAGCACCGCGAAATGGTGCCTGATTCATCTGTGTTCCTGCACCGAGCACAGGGGTCCACACAGAGCAGGAGGAGCTCAGGGAACGTCTGCTGAACTGAAACCGGATCCCAGGTTCAGCACACAGGTATTCTCGAGGCAACCCTGCGAAGGGCCAAGGCCCTGTCGACCAACTGGTTGCAGCACCAGATTAGCCACTCCGGGGCCGAGCCAAGCTGTCCTCCTCCTCCTCCTCCTCTTCCTCAGGCACCCCCCACCTGAGGAAACTCCCTGGCACTCACTCACCGACTCAAAATACTATAGAGTCGAGGATTCCGCGGCAGCGTCTGCCCAGGCCGGAAGATGGACTTAGCCAGGAAGAAAACACATCCGGTGCCAACCAGCTTTATTCTTCACTGGGGCCCTCTGGGCGCCCCGGAAGGACATTCTGAGACGGTCTCCCTTCCTCACTTCCCCCCTCTTGGAATGACAGAAAGACACCTGAATGCCGGCAAGCCCCATCTCTCATGTCCCAGTTTCGGCACTCGAGCCGTTCCCCGCACCCCCCCCTCTTTTTTTTTTTAAGACGGAGTTTTGCTCTTGTTGCCCAGGCTCGAGTGCAATGGCGCAGTTTCCGCTCACTGCAATCTTCGCCTCCCGGGTTCAAGCGACTTTCGCACCGCAGCCTCCCAAGTAGCTGGTATTAGGCGCCCGCCACCACGCCCGGCTCATTTTTGTATTTTTAGTAGAGACGCGGTTTCACCATGTTGGCTAGGCTGGTCTGGAACTCCTGACCTCAGGTGATCCGCCCCCCTCGGCCTCCCTAAGTGCTCTGATTACAGGCTTCAGCCACCGCGCCCAGCCCGAGCCGTTTCCTTTTGTGAGTCCTCCTGAACATCCGAATTGGAGACGGGGTTTGAGGTTCGGTTACGGCAGGTCTGTCAGAGTAACGAGACCTTCAGAGTAACCAGACCTTTTATGGATTATTCTGGGACGATTTCTCTCCTTATCGGGGCCACCTACAACTTGAAAGGTAGCAGAGCAGAAACTATCGTAAGGGTCTGTATTCAAGATTACCTAGGTAATGCCCCATCAGGAGCTGGCCCCAACTTCTGGATCTAGCTTCACACTTAAATCCGTTACTCCCTCCCAAAACTTTTGGCCCAGCTGTTTCCTCTGACGTGCCCTAGCCTTTTCCCCACGTATCTTTTTTTTTTTTTTTTTTTTTTTTTTTGAGACGGAGTCTCGCTCTGTCGCCCAGGCTGGAGTGCAGTGCCGGATCTCAGCTCACTGCAAGCTCCGCCTCCCGGGTTCACGCCATTCTCCTGCCTCAGCCTCCCGAGTAGCTGAAACTACAGGCGTCTGCCTCCATGCCCGGGTAATTTTTTGTATTTTTAATAGAGACGGGGTTTCACCGTCTTAGCCAGGATGGTCTCGATCTCCTGACCTCGTGATCCGCCCGCCTCGGCCTCCCAAAAGTGCTAAGATTACAGGGGTGAGCTACTGCGCCCGGCCTTCCCCATCGTATCTTTAAAGAACCCGTTTATAAATCTCATCATCCCTGAAGCCATCCTGAACTGCCCTAAGATAATTGGTTCCCAGTTGGGAACCTGTAATCCCTTTGCCTGCCTTCATTATTGCACTTAACACTCCTGTATTAATTTGTGCCTCATCTAGGCAGAGGTATTTAGGACAGTGGCTTACTGATCTTTGTATTCTCGAAGTCTAGCACTTGGTAGGCATCAAGTATTTGTGCTGAATGAAGATATGTCTGAACCAATTTTTTTTTTTTTTGAGACGGAGTCTCACTCTGTCACCCAGGCTGGAGTGCAGTGGCACGATCTCAGTGTACTGCAACCTCTGCCTCCCGGGTTCAAGCAATCATCCTGCCTCAGCCTCCCGAGTAGCTGGGATTACGGGGGCCCGCCACCACGCCCAGTTAACTTTTGTATTTTAGTAGAGACGAGGTTTCACCATGTTGGCCAGGCTGGTCTCGAACTCCTGACCTCAGGTGATCCACCCGCCTTGGCCTTCCAAAGTGCTGGGATTACAGGCATGGGCACCCAGCCTTTGAACCAATTCTTTTTTTTTTTTTTTTTTGAGACAGTCTCTAGCTCTGTCGCCCAGGCTGGAGTGCAGTGGGGCAATCTCGGCTTACTGCAAGATCCGCCTCTCAGGTTCACGCCATTCTCCTGCCTCAGCCTCCCGAGTAGCTGAAACTACAGGCACCAGCCACCAGGCCTGGCTAATTTTTTGTACTTTTAGTAGAGACAGGGTTTCACCGTGTTAGCCAGGCTGGTCTGGATCTCCTGACCTCGCGATCCGCCTGTCTCAGCCTCCCAAAGTGCTGGGGTTATAGGCATGAGCCACCGCGCCCAGGCGCCTCTGAACCAATTCAGAAAGGCAGTTGCTCTGCTCTTCCAGCAACAGATTCTCGTGGAAGTAACTGAATCCAGTAACAACTTTCTGATTAATTCCTATTTTCTTCTGAAGGCAATCTCAGCATGCTTAATATGTACTTTTAAGACTATACATAAAGAAGACATTCCTATATTCAAAGTAAAGCAATTAAAAAAGAATAGAAGGAGGGGAGAGTGAGAAAATAAACCACTGACACCAGAGCTTTAATCATCACACTTTTATTAAGGAAACTTCCCCATAATAAGTGAAGAGGTAGTTCATAGTATGTCTAACATACAACAGATTTAGAACAGCTATTCATGAGCTGAAATAAAATCTTCTGGGTTGTGTAGGACAGTATTTTAGAAGCAGTGACAATAGTCACCTTCCATTTATAGATCTGCTAATAAAGAAACTTAAACAAATTAAAACCATATCTGATTTACCTCAGAGCCACTTCAGTTTGGAGTTTATCTTTAGTATTAAATAATAAATAAATAACTGACACAGTAATTTTTTTTTTAAAACCAAACTATGGTAGAGAGTCATCTCCTTTTTAGTTCTCTTGGGGATCCATAAAATACAAATGCTGAATGATAAAGGTTTTAAAAATCTTCCTCCTCTACAGAAGTATGACTAGTTTTGAAAGTCATCTTCTTCTATAAAATGTACTGGATATCAGTAACTTGACTTCTTTGCAATATAATCTAACAAACATGTATAAGCAAAGAAGGAGGAAAGTCAAGTTCCACAAAAATTAGAAAAATGTCTCACAGAAACAGAACACCTCTCCAGCCAAAAATGGAGGAGACTGTAAATCACTTCAGTGGTTTGCATTTTCAAAAGGTGAGAACTAAATGTTTTACTGATACAAAAGCACAAAGTTGCTGATTTTAACTGATGGAATACAGCAAGGCAGCTTTCTTTATTATTTCTAGTATAAAAGCAAATTGAGACTTTGTTTCACTAAGACCATATAAGACTATAAGCTCCATGAGGGCAGGGACTCTATCAATCTTACCTTCATTATCCTCAGTATCTAGCATAGTGTCTGGCAACAGTAGGTGCTTAACTAATGTTCCTTGAACAACTGAATGAACCCAGAAATAGTCTCCAACCAAAGAGACCAATCTTATTTGAACCCGTGCCTTTTAGTCTTCAAACCAGTAACAAAAACAGGACATGAATGTGAGCAAAGGAAGCACTCCAACTTGAAATTTTCCTGTGAAGAAATGATGTTGACAGAAAAAACCAAAAAATGCTGTTTGGTTGACAGGGTAGAGTCTCACTATTGCATAGAATTGGTACTCTTTGGCTGGATCATGTAAAAATCACAATGCTAGGAAGCATCATTAGACCATATAATGAGTGATGTTAGGCATAAGGTACCTATTAGCTTTATCACTCAACTGTATTATCATTTTAAATATCTGAACAAAAGACAAAAATCATACTTCACATCTGACACACATGATGATAATTTACATGTGATAACAATGATACATGTAAACGTATCAAATATAACAGTTTAAGATCCCCTCTGACTATACAAGCCTAATTTTTCAAATCTGCATGCACTCTCATAGCTCAAAAACAAAAACAGAAAATCCTGATGGAAACTAATAAACAGTTTTCCACACAAAATCAATTTCGCATTTAGATCTTCTCACATTATTCTTGCTTCTTCCCTCCCTAAACAACACCTAGCAAATCACTCACTTGGATGGGAAGAATATAATACTCATCTAACTAAAAAATAATTAATATAAATCCCTCTGTGATATTTTGTTGGCAAAATTCAGGTTGTCTCAGCCAACAGGGAGACACAAAGGGGAAACACAAACTAGGAGCTTTTTGCTAATGCATTATTCTTCATGTACTAAATCTTTTAAAGCCAAGGGATAGTGAGAAGAAGGAAGAAGATGCTAGCTCACATTTAGTTATACCTTGGCCAATATTGGCCAGGCCACCTCTTCAGGCTTTGGATACCCCAACTTAAAATGAAAGAGGTGGAGTAAATGACCTTTTAAGATTCTCTAAAGACTCTACTAACACTATTACCTAAATCTAACTCATGGGTGAGAAACAAATAAGACTCAAAATTTTAGGTCTGAAGTACAACATGTGTTTTAGGAAAAAGAGTTGTTTTGTTTTTCCTTTTTGAAAATTAACTTTGTATTCGCAATCAATCAAAGGCAGCAAGGTGGGACAGTGTACCTTTAAGAGGAATATCCGTATACAGAAATTTGATTGCCCTTTCTGTGTCCAACCTTTTATCATCCATTTTAGAAATTAAGGTACACGAGGAAATGAAAATTCAGAGACTTTTATGGTGCACAGGACAAAACTCTGATGGCCAAATTAATTCACCTTTCTGATGGCTCAACTCTGAAACAAAATTCAGAGACTCCCAAATAGACTCTTTTTGGAGAGCCCATTATACTTTAGCACATTTTTAGTGTGCCTGGAGCAGTCCTGATCTCAAAAGCATCAACAAATTACACATTAATTATAAGCAGATGGGCTGGGCACGGAGGCTCACGCCTGTAATCCCAGCACTTTGGGAGGCTGAGGCGGGCATATCACGAGGTCAGGAGATCGAGACCATCCTGGCTAACATGGTGAAACCCCAACTCTACTAAAAATACAAAAAATTAGCCAGGCGTGGCAGCATGCGCCTGTAGTCCCAGCTACTCAGGAGACTGAGGCAGGAGAATGGCATGAACCTGGGAGGTGGAGCTTGCAGTGAGCCGAGACCACACCACTGCATTCCAGCCTGGGCGACAGAGCGAGACTCTGTCTCAAAAAAAAAAACAAAAAATATATATATATAAAAAAGCATATGGCCACTTATGGGACATGCTACCAGAGAAAAACCTCCCATGTAAGTGCTGTTGTATAAGTGTACTTCTATCCCTGTTGATTATGCTCCTCATGGTCATCCCTAACTATCTGCCTGC